TCCTCCTCCTCCTCCTCCTCCTCCTCGTCCCGCTCCTCATTGTCGTCGTCAAAAGACTTTGTGCCACCAAGCCGCTTGTAGGTCTCGAGGACCCTCGTGCGTCCTTCCTCCTGCTTCTTGACGAAGGCATCGACCTCCCACTGCGCGACCGAGTCGACATTTTCCTGTCGCTGCAAAGGGGCCCTGACGCTGCGCCACATTCCAAGACCGATGCCAAGGTCGCCGATCGCACCCTCCAACTGGGAGAGCCCTTGGACGGAAAGGTAGTTGCAAATGCCCGTGATGAGCGAGTCGTAGCCCTTGAGCGTGTTGTCCCACTCGCTGATGGAGGGGTTGGCACAGTTGAGCGTGACAAGAGCACCGGGCTTTGGACTGAGCACAAAGTGCGGCTGCCCTGCACCAACGTAGATCGTGTCGCCCGGCTTGAGGTAGACCAGCCGAGGCTCTGTGAGCTCGCGCATCAGCCGGAGGGCCCCCGACCAGTCAACCGGATGCAAATGGCAGCGCTGCATGATCCTCCTGTTGTGATCGTTGCAGCCGTAGAGGACAAAGAGCTTGGCGCCATCGATCATGGTCGAGAAGCCCGAGGTCATGCCAATGTCGATGTGCATCGGCGAGAACGTGCCTGACGTGTTGACAAACACGTCGCTTGCGGTCGAAAAGGACACGTGCGGCGACAGGCAACGGATGCGACGAAACATGTTGAAGCTGGGCTCTTTCGGTAGGCAGTCCTTGAGACCGCCATCCACTGCCCCGGGTGTTGTCACGACGGCCATCAGAGGCTCGTGCGTGCGGTCGTATTCGCGCACTGCAGGCTTGAATGCTGCGTCCAGAAAGTCGAGCAGCGATTTATCGGGGTCGCGTAGGAGGAAGTTCGCACCAAAGATGTTGAGGACGTCGCGGTTGCCAAGCAGCTCGGCAATGGCGTGCCTGAACTGCGGACGATTCGTAAAGATCCGATCGAGCCCGTTGTGCTCGAAAGGTGGCTCCGGCACAAAGACGCCAGTAACCTTGTCCCGCTTGGACTCGGCCCACTTGATGATGGTGAGGCCGTTTTCAAAGTTGGGTGTGCCATACGCGTTGACGACCCAGTCACGCAGCAATGAGTTGGAACGCGCGGGCAGCTCGAATGACAGATGCGCCATGCTGGGCGTTGTGCGTGCGCAAAGCGACCCTGTGCTAGCGAGGAGCAGAGTATCAGCGTTGAGCCGACAGTGGAAAGAGGGGAAAGAGCCAGCGAGGAGCCAGCGAGGGAGCAGCAGAGTGCAGCAAGGAGCCGCAAAAAGCCTTGAGCTAGCGCAGAGCCAGCGAAGGTGCAGCGAGGAGCC